TTTTTTTACATTTTGCTGACATCAATTTCAGTTTTTGTTTTGTTTTTAATGGTAAGTCTTCACCTTGCTTCCTGTGGATGTGGAGGTCTGGTTCCCAGGAGCAGAACCACAGCAGCCCACCCTGGACGATCTAATGCAGCAACTCTCCCAGTGGGATTTCTTCTCTGCTTGCAAACTGCTTTCTCTAAAGCAGGAATAAATTTATTTTTTCCTCCAGAAACAGCACTCACCAAGGGGCAGACACCAGTGTTGGTGGTGCAGTCATTTGCACACCTTGGCCCAGAGAGGCCGCTCAGGCAGGTGATGCTAGCCTTCCAAAGCCACACACATATTTCCCACTGTCTACCTTGCAAGCCACCTTACTCAGGTGATTTGAACTACAACAACATTCTGGGGCAAGCATGAGAGAATGGGTGCAGAGGGAGTCAGATGCCCCTTGCTTGGAGGAGATGGGTGCTACCGGCCATCTGGTGGCCCCACGAGCCAGGGCAGTGCCCTCACACACCCATACTGTCCTGCCACCCAGCTTCTCATGGATCAGTCACCCTGGGACCTGGGAGTGTGTGCTCATGCTGTGCAGCCCTGCATGCAGGGCTCTGCCCAACCCTCCTCCTGTTTCCAGTGAAGCATCTCTGGGGGGGGGGGAGATTGGCTTCAAGAACTTCAGTGCCCTCAGGCCTCAGGGAGAACTATCTCAAACAGAAAGGAGTGTCACTTGTTCATTTTCTGATTACCAAGCAGTTACCAAACTTGATCCATGACTTCTTGGCCAGAGATTATACCTTTATTATACAAGTATGATCAAAAGTAATATTTATGGACTGTTGAATGAAGCCATAATTAACTTCTGGAAATTCCATGCTGCACTTGGGGTTTCTGCATGGGCACACTATGCCAAAAAAGTTTTACATAATTTCCTCCTTTCCATCCATGACATGTTTTTGAGTGTTATTTTTGTGGGTGCACTATTTGTGAATAAATGTGGTAATAGGTTTTGCAAGCAAAAAAATATTCTATTTTCAACATTAGTTCCTCTAACTCATTAACTGTGCTGACTAGGGCTTGGTATGAAACTCTCATGGTCTCCAATTCTTCATTTTTAAAGATACTTAATTTACAGCCCACAAAGATCAAAGAAATAATGTTTATGCTTGTTAAGAATCAGTAAATATAGATATCATTGCCATTATCAACTTCCCTACAGCTTATGCCATTCAAATACATTATTTGAACTCTAGGTGTGGGTTGTTCTGGGTATCTGACACGCAGTTACAATTTATCTTCACACCATAAGGCCTTGAATACTTCAAAGTCAGGAAATGAACACCATTTATATATATAATAAAAAATATAGCACAATGAGGCCAGAGATTAAGCCCATCTCTGCTTTGCATTCTGTTGACTAAGATGAAGACATTTGTAGTTGATCTATCCAGTGGTTTTCTTCCTCCCTGAAACAGTATACCTTCCACAGAGATCTGAAGAAGAAATATTGGCTCATTTCTCTGTATTATTATGGAACTTTGATTGCCTTTGTTATTTGCTGTTGGTTTGGTTAAGACTCATACTGACCCTATGAACAGAAGAATCAAATAATCTTTGGTCCTACAGTATCCTACAATTGTTGGTATAATAGAGCCCATTGTTGCACTCACTGTGTCAATCCATCTCATTGAGGGTATTCCTCTTTTTTGCAGACCATCTCCTTTACTAAATATGAGGGCCTTCTCCAGGGCTTGTCCCTTCCGACAACATGACCAAAATATGAGAGGTGAAGTCTTGCTATCCTCGCTTCTAAGAAACATTCTACCTTTACATTGTTTGTTTCTCTGGCTGTCCATGGTGTATTCAATACTCAATCAACACCATAATTCAAATGCATCAATTCTTCTCCTGTCTTCCTTATTAATTTTCCAGTTTTTGCATGCATGTAAAGGAATTGAAAACATCATGGCTTTGGTCAGACACACGTAAATCTCCAAAGTGAGATAATTGTTCTTTGATACTTTAAAGAGTTCTTTTTATTTTATTAATTTTTATTGTGCATTGGGTCTAAAGAGTTGTTTTGCAGCCAATTTGCCCAATGCAATACTTTGTCTGATTTCTGGAAGGCTTCATCCTTGGACACTGGCTGGGAATGCAATTAAAATGTAATTCTTGACAACTTCAATCTTTTCTGCCTTCGTAATTTGCTTGTTAGTCCATTTGTGAGGAGCTCTGATAGCATAGTGCCTAAGACACTTGACTGCTAACCAGAAGGCTGGCGGTTCAAACCCACCAGCCACTCCTTGGAAGGAAGTTTGGGCAATCTACTTCCGTAGTGATATCACCTCAGAAACCCAGGGAGGGTCTCTATGAGTTTAGTCTGACTCAATGACACATAACAACAGCAACAACATGTTCTCTTTATGTTGTAGCATACTCCATAGTGAAGTTTGTAGTCTTGGACCTTCAGTAAGTGCTTCAAGTTGTCTTTGGTTTCAGCAAAACTGTTGTGTCCCCTGCAATCCTAGATTGTTAATGAGTCTTCCTCCAATCTTGATGCCATGTTCTCCTTCATCTAATTCAGTTTC